GCAGTTCTCACGAGCCAGCCCTCCCCACTACACTGTGCACACCCTCAGAGCAGGGACCTTGTCCTATCCGTAACCACACACCCATGCTAGCTCAGGGCTCATCTCAGTAGTGCCCAGGGAATGTGTCAGAGCCGAAAGGAAGAAAAGCTGAACTATCAGAAGTGGTTTTTGCAGGAAGGGTTTATCTAGGAGGTGGGGCTTGAGTAGCACCTTGGAAGGCATTGACGTTTAAGAAACCGAGAACGGGAGAGAGCATGCCAGGTCAGCTGAGACAGAAGAGAACCAAAGGGCAGAAATGGGAAGCACAAATTATGTCTGAGACAGTAATCGTATCTGTTTTGCAAGACCGCAAGTCTTAGGGCGGGTACAGTGAAGCTAGACTGGGGCCGGGGTCAGGGTGACAAATACCAGGCTAAGGAAATGGTTTGCAAACTCTGCTCCTTGGAACACTGGCGTTCCCGTTAAGTTTAAGATGTGAATATTTCATGGTTTCTTATAACATCAAGGCATCATAGACAAATTTGAGAACTGTTGTGGTTACAGAAAACAAACAATGGACTAATCACAAAAACGGTCATTTATTGATTCCTATGTGCTAGGTGCTGTGCTAAATATTCTTCCTTGCTCTTATTTGCGCTTGTGATAATTCTGAGGGGGAGGTACGAGTATGATCTCTAAATGCAGATAAAGAAACTGAGGCTAAGGATTGCTAACTTACCAAACCGACTAACTAGAGGTGCCAACCCCAGGCCAAACCCAGGCCATCTAAGAACCAAATCCAAGCCCTTTACCTCTCACTGTATTGCTCCTTGGCCTTCTTCCCTTGGGGTGACTGGGCTGAAGGGTAAGGGAGAGATTAAAAAAAAGAATAAAGAGGAGAACCATCTTAGGATTTAGGGATAGCATCTCCTTCAGGCATCTAAGGGAAAGGATCATGGGCCAAGGAGAGAATTAGACACAGGGAGCTAAAAGAAGATACAGACCAAGCAATGGAACTGGGAAGGAACGTTCTTGAAAGCTAAGCTGGAAGCCTTTCCTCCGCATGTGTAATTTCTGCCATATAATTCATCTACACTGAGGCAGGTCTCGCTGTTTAAACCAGAGTCATACTGGTGCCCTCAGGAAGACTGACATGAGGATATATCGCTGGGAGCTACCTAGACAATGACAGGGGACAGGCTGGAATGACAGGGCAGCCACGTTCCTCAGCAGCAGATTACAGGAAACCTGCCCGCAGCCCAAGCAGTGCCCACAACTGCTTCAGGCCACCACAATTTCCCAAGTAGTTATTATGGCTATGATTGAAAAGGGTTCACCGTCACGTGTTTAAGATACATGTGATCTCTTTGGCTAGAGTTTATGTTCTGGAATACTGCAATCTGGGCCAAGCCAGGCAATGAGCGGGAGAGGCTGTACGGCAAAGAAGCAATATGCTCTATCTGCACCAAACACCACGGCTTGAAAAGCCATTCATAATCTTTAGCTCACTGGAATTTGACAACAACGCTGTGAGGTAGGCAAGGAAGAAGAGGCACAGAGAAGTTAAGTGACTTATACAAGAACACACAGCAAGTCGATGGCAGAACCTAACTGGGTCCCTAAATCTCGTGGTTCCAAGTCAGCTCTGGTATTTGAGACCCCAGCTGAAAAGTGTTCTTTCAAGTGGTAAGAATGAAGTTGGAGAGGGCTACAAGGAGAAAAGGATACCATTTTCTCCCTTGACGACTGGGAATCTGAAATTCCAAATATCTGACACCTTATACCCTGTCAAAGTGCTGTCACCTACATTACTTCACAATAAAAGGCAGGCAGGGAAGTGAGCATAGGTGATTTACAGAGAAAGCAGCAGAGGCTCAGCGTGGTGAAGAAATGTGCTGGAGCTGGCACAGCTGGGAAGAGGAAGAGCATTTCCTCTCGCCTGGCCTCTCACACTGTGCTCCTCCTCTCACCCAGGCCTGGAAGCATTTAGTGTGGTCAAGCAGTGGGAGACGGTCCCAAGGCCGTGGTTCCATCTGTTAGACATGATCTGTCCAAACCAGTGGCTCCCTGCCTGTCTGCCCCTTCCACCAGCTCCCCACAGCTTGGGCCCCAACGATGGCTGCCCCATGTGGCCCACCCATAGCAAGACAAGTAGCAAAACAACCAGCCTGGCCCTCGACCCTGCCACTCAGTCCAAGCCAGGGCTCTGTGGCTTGGCTCTGCCTGCTGGGCCCACATGATACTCCTGGAATAGCTGTCACTGTCAAACAGATGTGACCACATGGTACCCTGGGATGACCCCTGGACATGTCCACGTTGCAGCTTAACTCCTTGACCCTAACTTTTTGCTGGCTTAGGTCAAGACTTGTTTTCTCTGGTCCTACCTCTAAGTTCTGCCTTTTTCTTCTTACTAATATTTTAAACCACCTACCTGATGGCTGAGCTGTCCATCCTCCCTGGGAACCAAAGGCCAGGGGTCTAAGTTTCTCAGGACAGATCTCTGGTTGACAATTACCCCCTCCTGGTACTGATCCTGGCCTGAATTCCCCTCCAAAGGGTCCCGCCAGCCCATCCGGAAATCCTGCTGATGGGTGCCCAGCCCCTGGGGTGGCCTCTCTGGGTTTGGGGCTGCACTTTGGGACCAGCCTCCTCTTCTGCTGTTGAATGAATGCCCCATCCACTAGAGACACTTCCCCACTCCCTCCCTTCTCCCTTCTTGTCCCAAGAGACCTGTTACCCACCTGCCGAGAACTGGAAATAATCCAAATGTTCCTTGACAGAAGAACTGATAATAATTGTGCATGTTCACAATGGAATCTACAAGAGTGCAAATGAGACGGTGCCCACGACCACCACCAGCATGGGTTGACCTTTGAAACCTTACGCGTAGCAGAAAAGAATGTTGCAGAAGGCTCCATACTTTATAACAGCATTTTTATAAAACTCAAAAACAAGCAAAACAAAACAATACATTGTTTAGGGATACAGTCACGCCTAATGAAAATATTTTCTAAAGCAAGGAAATAATAAACATAAAATTCAGGGTGGTCTTTACCCCAGAGCTGGGCAGGGACACTGGCTGGATGTCTTGGGCTGGAAGGAGCGTTTGGGATGATCATTTTGTTGTTTGGCTTCATGGCTTACAAATATGTTCCATGTATTCTCTTTTCATATCTATCAAGTGCTACAAAATAACTTTAAGAATTAGATGGAGAGGGTCCCAGAGGTGTCCCTTCTTTTCTTCTCCTCCCCACACAAATTGATCTGGGGGAAGGAAAGTATGTGTGCCTTTGGAGTGTCTGGATGCCACATCTCCCCATCCCACACTGTCACAGCTGAATGGCCTTTAAGAAGGTTCCAGCCTCATTCCTCATTTCCTGCCCTCCCACACTCTGAGTCCACCAGACTCTGGCTCCATTGCTCTGCTGAAGACAATTCTCTCTAAGTCTCCAGTCAACCCCTTGTGGATGGAGTGGACAGTTTCAGTGCTGGCCTTGCCTGGCATCTCAGCAGTATTGGATGCGACAACCCCTGCCTGCTTCTCCAAGAACCTCTTCCTTGGCATTTCGGGTCTTTCTCTGGTATTTATCTCAAGACACTCCTTCTTGGCCTCCTTTTCTAGCTCCCTCTCCCTTCTCTGCCTATCCCTTGGTTAAACAGTGGTGCCCACAGGTGTCTTCTCAGTCCTCTTGTCACCCTCTTGGGTCACCATTTGCCAATGAGTTCCCATCTCTGTCCCCAACCTGAAATCTGTCTCCTGAAATCCAAGCTTCAGGCTCCAAATATCCAATTGTCACCTCAATCTCTCCACTTGGATGCCTCATAAGCACTTCAGGTCCAACTCCCAACCATCCCCCAACAGCCTGATCCTCTTCCAGGGGCCTCTATCCATCCACACAAGTACCCAGGCCACCTGCACATCAGTCTCGGTTCCTCCCTGCCCTCACTGCCACCATCTGTCATCTCTCTCCAGCCTCATTCAGTCACCAAATTGAGCCTTTCTAGCTCCTTCCCTGGCACCCAAATCTGTCTATTCCCCCTACCTGTACCACAACTTTCCCAGTCCAAACCAGCATCCTCTCCAGCTTCTGTGAAAGCAACTGTCTCCTAGGGACCTCCCCACTTCCAGACCTGCCTCAGTGTATTCTCTACCCTGCAGGTATGCTGTTCTTTATAACATGCAAATCTGGGTGTATCTTTCCCCTGCTTAAAATTCTCCAGGGACCGCCCCCCTCCATGCCCAGGCTCTCCACCCCCTACCTTCCTCTCCCATCTCACCTTCCCTCACCTCCCCTGACATCTCCACCTTGGACCCCACCCACCAAGCATACTGAACCTCCACCAGCGCCTCATGCTTCCCCCTCACCTCTCTGGCTACAGCATGGTTCCACCTGGATCCCTTTGTCTCCCTCCGACTAACTGTCACTCCAGGTTCCAGTTTGACTGTCATTTCTTCTGGGAAGCCTTCCCTGACCATGCCACTCCTGCCCAGAGAATGTAACATGGCTCCACCATCTCAAGCACCTCAGATGTTTCCTATTCTATTCTAGCACTTGTAACCCTTTATAATTATTGCTTTTTAAATTATACATCTCTCAAAACACACTATATGTCAGCCGGCAGGGTCCTGACTTACTTTCTCAATAGAACCCGGGACAATGCCTGACCCCTACTAAGCATGTGGCAAAAGTTGTGGAATGAGTAAGTAATGAATGAATGAGTAAATGAATGAATGTAAAACTCTGCTTTATATATGTTATCTCATTTAATTCTTACAAAAACTTTTTAAGGTAGGTATTCTTCATTTCCTTTTACAGGTAACAGAGGGAAGCAGCTTGCCCCAAATCACACAGCTAGCAAACCAAAAGCTGGAAGTTGGGCCCAGGTTTAACACCAAAGCCCACAGCACCACCGCTCCTATCCCCTCCTCTGGCCACCCCACCCCATCACTCATCCCACACAAAGCCAGAGAGCCCATTTGAGGCTGCTCAAGGCTGAAATGCAGGCTGAGAACTGGTTACCTGGAAGCACGTGGGGCCTGGCCTCCCTGTGGGGATGTCCGACTGGTAGAAGACCCTGAGCTCTGGAGTCAGCGCGATGACAGTCTTTATCACGAGGGAGATGATGTCAGACCAGACCTTCTTGATGTCAACGCCTTTGGAAGACAGTCTACAAAGGATGCTGGAAAAAGTCCTTTTGCTGCCTGTGCTAGCACTGTCTGAATGGACAAAGTTGCTGCTGTGGATGTTCAGGGAATAGTTGGTTAAGTGCATAAAAATGTGGTGCAGGTTTTTGGGGGTGGGCTCCTGATATGGCTCAGTACAAAACCTGGAGAGTCCGTCTTTGGCTATATAAATCTCTAAGGGGTCTAAGGACTTGAGTAAGACATACAGACGAATATCAAACTTGAGCTTGTCGATAAGGAGAGGTTTGCAGATGTACTCCTGGACCACCGCCGGCCTGCTCTGGAGGGTCCCTGCCAGGCGGATGTCACTGGGGTCTTTAATGAGGTAGATTCCGTCACCCTGACAACCACCATCAGGTTTCACGATAAAAGTGGGCTTCCAGGAAGGGTCACCATCTTTCACCATTCGAACCTGAAAGGGGGAAAAAAGGATGGCTGACATTATATTCTTTTCCCTCTGGATCCCTAGCACAGAGCAAGGCCTTGGCAAATGTGTGGTGAATGAGTGACAAGATGGTCCCTGCCGATCTGACCATGTGCTGAGCATCTTCCATGGAGACTACACTGCACAAGGTACTGAGATCGTGACATCAGGATTGGCCCCCGTCTTGTACTCCAGAGTGAGACAGAGCTCTCTTGTGAAGTGGATTGGCAGTCACAAGACCTGGGTTTGAATCCTGTTTTGCCAGTTATTAGCTTCCACCTTGAACGGGCCATAATAGCACTGAGAATAATAATGATGGTGAGCTAATATCATTTATGAGCTCCCGTGAACACTATATCAGGCGCTTACCTAATTAGCTCATCTAACCCTCACCAGAAATATGGTCGTGCCTTTTCATGTCAGGAACAGATAGGGTACAGCAGTTGCTAAGAGCACGGGTGTTGGAGTCAGATGGCCTGGGCTTAGACACTGGCCCTGCTCCTTATCCTGGGCCTTGGGCAAGTGACTTAAGTTATCTACACCCTTTCCATCTATGAAATAGAAGTAAGGTTGTTTTGAGAATTAAATGCAATAATAAATGCAAGAGGCTAAGTACCTAGAATCTGACAAATAAAAGACAGTCCAAAGCCTGGTTGTCGCTCTTCTTAGAAGATGAAGTGGCTTGACCAGGTGCAGTGGCTCACGCCTGTAATCCCAGCACTTTGGGAGGCCAAGGCAGGTGAATCACCTGAGGTCAGGGGTTCGAGACCAGCCTGCCCAACATGGTGAAATCCCATCTCTACTAAAAATACAAAAAATTAGCCGGGTGTGGTGGCAGGCACCTGTAATCCCAGCTACTCTGGAGGCTGAGGCAGGAGAATCGCTTGAACCCAGGAGGCGGAGGTTGCAGTAAGCAGAGATTGCACCACTGCACTCCAGCCTGGGCAACAAGAGCATAACGTTGTCTCAAAGAAAAATAAAAATAAAAGAAGATGAAGTGATTTGCCAGCTAATGAGGTTAGAATTGGGATCAGAATCTAGATTGATGATTAGAGCCCTCAGACCTTCCTCTATCCCACAATGTCTTGGTTTCCTCACTTTAAAAATGGAGATATAGACTCCTACTCTCATTGGGTCATTGTAAGGATGAAATAAACTAAAACGTGCAAAGGACCAAGTGCAATACCAAATACAGAGCTAGTGCACAGGAAATGTCCGTTTCATGTTTACGCCCCTTCTTAAGTTCATCTGGTAGACCTGACCAGTCCTTCCATCTGTTGAGATCTTTTTGAAACAAGATCCTGTCGTCTGTAGTATTTGCTCTCCTCCCAGCTCCAGGTCAGCAGAACACTCACATAACTAACTATCTGGGCAACTGACCATCCAGATAGTCGGTCTGGACCTGTGGTTCTGCATAATTCATCCTCACCCCATTGCCCCCGATGCTGGTGAGATGCTTCCTGCAGCTATGGAGAGTGGATGGACTGAAATGGCAGGAGAGGAGGTTTTCACCAGGAGAGAGAAGCTGGAGGAAATGTAAGGACGGATTTCAAAGAGGGAGCCATCCTCTCTGTAGCTTCTTGCGTGAAAGTTTCCCTCTGAAATTTGAGAGCAGTGCCTGGCAGGCTGAGTTGGTGCCCCAGTGAGGGACTCCTCTCAGCCCTCCACCTTTGCTGTGTAAGCCCAACCCAGGACAACTGCACTCTCGGTTGCACTTATCTCTTTGACCAGCCTATATTTCTAAATGAAGCTTATGCCAATTCCTTGGGCACTATCAGTTATTCCAGGCTTGTAAAAGATCTTTAACAATGGAGAAACACTTAAAGCCTTAATAATGGTCCACATCAATTGTTTGCCCCTGTCAGCAGGATTCAAGAATGGAACTTCACAAGAGATCAATGCAAGCCTCCCAGGGCCTTCCACTGAGGCTTTCTTGCAACTGTGACCTTGATGTTTATGTAGTTACTTAATATTCATCCAAAGCATTCGTACACTCGGCCCTTTACAGTAAGTATAAGCATGCTGGACAAATGGCAGCTATGGATCAGGAAGTGAAAAATGTCAGGTTTGCACTGATGGGAAATTTTCCCTCTGGAAAGCTTTTGCTATGCCGAAGACACTAACAGTTCAATAGATTATCCAGAGCAATATTTTTTCCTTTGAATTCCATGTATATGCCTTAAATAAATTAAACTACATGGTCAATAGTCTCAGTCACTCACTGGATCCCTGAATACTACTTCTGCTCTTTGCCAAAATAGTGCCATACAAATCAAGATGATTAAAACTCATAGAGTCATTGAAATTTTAGAACTTGAAGAATCCTCGGAGATCAACATCACCCAGTGCTCTCAAAATTCATGGGGAAAACTGAGGCTCAGAAAGGCGACATGACTTCCCTTGGGTCTCATAGCTGGCTAGGAGGATGGTCAGGATGAGAACCTAGGTCTCCTGACCCCACCTCAAGTTCATGGTGCCATTTTCACCTCTAAGATAAAACTGAAGATGTCTTTTTCCTCTTCTTACTATAGGAAAGTTCCTCCTAATATATCAGACAGTACTGATGTCTGTGCTCTGGCCTCACCCTAAAGATTTTGGCCCTGAGTATGGCCATCCAGGAACTGTATCTGTAGATCCTGAGTTGGCCAGACTGCCCCAGTTTCCAATCTTCTATCTGGGTGCCTGGCTTGTTAAAGCACAGGTGTGATCTATAGGAAACCCTCACAATTGTTCAGAACGTGGTTCCTGTAGCCACGAGACCCTTCTGCCACTGCTACCCTAAAAAGAGAAACATTTTTCATAATTCATATTTACTTTTCTCTGAGATTTATTCAAAAATGACCCTTTCCCAGCAGTTATTAAAGTTAAAAGGTCACATATTGGCTCTTAAAAAGAAGTGATGGACCAGAATGAAAATATAATCCATATACCTCAGCCCCAGCCTCAGCAATTCTGATTTAATCGATCTGGGATGAGACCTGGTCATATGTATTTTGAAAAAATCACCACAGGTGATTCTGATGTGCACTCTGTCTGAGAATCACCGGACTAAGTGAATTAAATTAAGATACCATCTGAAACCAACATATTCAATGAAGTATTCTGCGCAGATGTTAGCCAGAGTGTGAGGAAGACTTGCACTTAGGCTACGACTGATGGTATCTCTAGTTTTATCCAAAGCCTCTGTTGGACCTGAAATCCATTACCTTGTAACTGTATACACAGATGGCTGAAAGAGATACAGAGGAGGTAGTGGCCTAATTGCCTGGCACTTCTTTGGCCTATAGAAAAATTTATATGGTTTTTACTGCCCCCTAGTGGGCATTTAGAAAACGCTACTGGGAAAGTCCCTCGGTTCAAAATTCCAATACTACAGAGCAGTACGATATTCTATTAAGATATTAAAATGGTCTTAAAGAAACACCACTACAAATGAAATATTATTCAGCCTTAAGAAGGAAGAAAATTCTCACACATGGCACAAAATGAGTGTATTCTGAGGATATTATGCTAAGTGAAATAAACTGGACCCCAAAAGACAAATACTGTAAGAGTGTACTTACATGAGGTGCCTGGAGCAGTCAAATTCAGAGACAGAGATTACAATGGTGTTTTCCAGGGGTTGGGGTTGGAGGGAATGGTGAGTTAATGTTTAATGGGTACAAAGCTGCAGTTTTGCAAAATGAAAAAAATTCTGGAGATGGACAGATGATGGTTACACAAAAATGTGAATATACTTAATGCCACTGTATACTTAATGTACATGCGATGCACATTTAAAAATGGTTAATCTGATAAAATTTGTCATTTATATTTTACCACAATCTTAAAATTAATTTTGATTTATTTATTATTTTTTTTTTTGAGACTGAGTCTTAACTCTGTTTCCCAGAATGGAAGGCAGTGGTGCGATCTTGGCTCACTGCAACCTCTGCCTCCTGGATGCAAGCGATTCTCCTGCCTCAGCCTCCTGAGTAGCCAGGATTACAGATACACACTACCACGTAGAGACAGGGTTTCGCCATTTTGGCCAGGCTGGTCTTGAACTCCTGACCTCAAATGATTCACCTGCCTCAGCCCCCCAAAGTGCTGGGATTACAGGTGTGAGCCACCGTGCCTAGTCAATTTTTAGGTTTTTTAAGTCATAGCTTTTGGTAAGTTAGAAATAGTACCACAGTGAAAAACAGAAAACCTGGATTTTAGTCCCAATTATTTCTAACTGTGTGGCCTCGAGAAAGTCACCTAACTTTCTGGGCTTTGTTGTACTCACCTATAAAATAAAGGGGTCACACTAAGGTCCCTGGCTTCTGCCAGAGAGCAAGTGCTGAACCATGATACATCTCGACATCACCACAGTTGAGGGCTGCGTTACAAACACACAAGTGGCATTCACCATGCTGGAGAGTTCCCACTGTGCTGTTAGGATCAGCACATTGGGATGATCTATAAGAGGAGGAGATTTGGATCTGAGATTGATGATGCATTTGAGGAAATCAGCAGCGCATTTGGAGGAAGCAAGCAAAAATATTTGGAGGGAGAAATTCAGCAACTGGAATATCAAGCCCCAAAACATTATTAGCAGTGAGGGGCAGGTAAGAGGCCAATTTCTGAAGAAATACTGTGTGTCTGCAATACCAGGGAAGTCAAACCCAGTTAGGGCAGCCCTTTGTCACTCAGGTGGATTTGCATCTAATCTTAGCAACTCAGACCTTTGTTGTCACAGGCACACGCTGCAGATCTCAGGCAAAAACAAGCCTCTGGTAGACAAAATCAATGTCACACAATGCACGCCAGACAGGAGGCAGGGCCAGCCCCTGCTAGCCTTAGGGATATAAGCCTGGTACCTAGGACAAATTCCTACCTCAATGTTGAAGGCAATTTTTGAGTTTGGTTAAGACGGAAGGCAGTCTGCAGTGAGGTCACCTAGGGTCAGATGGAAAGGGCAAGAATGGCCTGTTGGGGCAGAGTGGGGGATAGAGCAGGGAGGTGGAGAGGAAGAACTTGAGCAGACGACGTGCTGCTCCAGTGGTGGGTGATGAAGGCAGGAGCAGGCAGGACACTTCTGGGAAACTGCTGATGTTCCGATGGCAAGAGAACAAAAAGTGGGTGGAAGGGTGTGCACATGGAAACCCCACTAGTGAGATTGGCAGGTTCCAGATAACACCACCACCACCAATAATAATAATATTAGCATATACTTATTGAGTGCTTCTAATGGGTCAGGCACTGTTCTAAGCACTTTGGAGGTATTATCTCATTTAATCCTCACAACAATCCTATTGTACAGATAAGGAGAGGGAGGCCCAGAGATGTCAAATAACTTGTCAAAGGTTACACAGCCAATAGGTCACAATGCCAGGATTCGAACCCAGGCAGGCAGATTCCAGAGCCCATGCCGGAATGAATGAGGGATGTATAAGAAAAAGGGATGGAGGAAGATCAAGCCTAGCTAGGAGGTAATGGCCTCATAGGGAAGGCCCTCGAATATTGTTTTAGGGAATTTGAGCAATGTCCTAAAATGATGGAGACTCTTTGAAAGGTTTTGAGAAGAAGGCAACTTAATTAGATGTGGACTATGGGAAGATGCCTTAGGCTGTCACATAGAAAATGTACCCAAGGGGGTGGATGGTCTGGGTCAGAGAGGAAAAGCCTAAACTGAGGCTGGCAGTGAAGTCAGAGAGAAGGAGAGAGGTTTGGGAATATTTTGGAACTAAAATCAACAAAGCTGAGTGCCTGGAAGAGGGAGACAGAAGCATACAGGATCACTGCCCGATGTCTAGGGAGTCACAGGGAATATAAGGGTAGGAGGAGGCTGGGCGCGGTGGCTCATGCCTGTAATCCTGGCACTTTGAGAGGCTGAGGCAGGCGGATCATGAGGTCAGGAGATTGAGACCATCCTGGCCAACATGGTGAAACCCCATGTCTACTAAAAATACAAAAAAATTACCCAGCCGTGGTAGCACGTGCCTGTAATCCCAGCTACTCAGGAGGCTGAGGCAGAAGTTGCAGTGAGCAGAGATTATGCTATCGCAATCCAGCCTGAGCAACCGAGTGAGACTCCATCTCAAAAACAAACAAAAAACAGTAAGGGGAGAAGGAAAGGTTGGGGGAAGGCAGGGGGAAGATGATGAGCTGGACAGAGGACCCTGGAGGGCATGTGTCTGGAGAGGTTTGTGGTCCCTGGGAAATGTATGTCTGGAGCTTGGGAGAGAGATCTGGGGTCGTCAGGCCCCTCAGGATGGCCAAGGCCCTCGCAATGGGCCAGATTACCCAGAGACGGGATAGAGAGGAGGAAGAGTGCACCTGGGAGCCAGAGGCTGGAACAGGCAGGACAGACCATGGAACACTCTTGTATTTACACTTGATCTGCAGGCAAAGGATGGAGTTTCAACTGGCCAGTGACATGCACCCACATCACCAGGGCACCCAGGAGGAAGGCCGTTTGGAAGGAATGAGACCAGGTACAGGAGGTCCCGAGGCTATCAAAGCTCCGAAGGCCTGAGCAGGGGCAGGGACAACAGGGTTGAAATGGGGAGCTGAGAGAAGAGGTAGAATCAGGGCACCTGGTGACTGGACAGCTGTGAAAGGGGAGAGAGGAAAGGGTCATGGGTGAGCTCATGGTTTGGGGCTTTAGCAATTTGGGGAGGGGTGATGGTATCATGAACAGATTTAGGGACTGCAGGGAGAGGAGCAGGTCTCATTGGAGGAAAGTGGGGACAAGGAGAGGAGGAATTCACTTCATCAAATGAGTATTATTTGCACAATTCCAGCCACAGAGCTGATGTAGGACTTTATAATATTCCGCAAGCCCTTTACTGTTCATTGGAACCAGGCCTGGTTGTCCGATATCTCCGACAGGTAATGAATTCTGATACAACGACTCTCCCACGCTTAGAAAGAACAAGAGCTGCTGTCTGGCAAGGATGAGACTCAGACTCTAAACTCAGATGGGGCATACCTTGAACTGGAACACAGGTGTCTGCACGGACCTCTCAGCTCACGGTGAGTGCGGAACCACAGGACGGTGGAAAGGAGGCCGTGCGGTTTGACGGTGCGGTCAAACATTTTCACCACTCTCTGGCTTTGGAACAGTTCCAGTTAAGAAAATCTAAGCAGCAAAGAAAGCAACCCTGTTCAGCCTACTGTTCAGGATACTGATGAGGTATCCTCAGTTTACTGGGGCGCTGGCATCAATTACCCACAAGGAGTTGGGGCTGACCCCTGCATGCACTCCTCGAATGGCCTGGATGGTCCTCCCTTCCTTGGCAGCCAGCACCAGCGCACCCTGGCAGTCTCCCTCCTGCCCTTCCCTCCTGTCCTCTTTCTCACCTCAATGCCTTTACACCGGCTTCCCTGTGTAAAGGCATTGAGACGACCAGCCTCCTGCGTCGTCTTTGCCTGTAAAGCTCTTGCCCATCATCTATGGTCCCGTGGGAGTTCCTTTCCTGGCCTGCAACCCTCTATAGACATCTTTTCCTTCCCAAAGTCCTTGAGCTTCCCCCTATCTTCCTGACCAGCCCTTCGAGGCCCAGGAAAGACTTATCACGACACACACACACGCACACACACACGCACACACATGCATACACAAGTACAGATGTGCAAGCACATGCACATACTTTATAAACAAACAAACTGAGGCCACAGGGCAAGGAGACTTGCCCAAGGCCACACAGCCAGTAGCACAACCAGAACTATTAGGCTGGTGCAAAAGTAATTGTGGTTTTGCCATTGGAAGTATGTGGAAACTGCAATTACTTTTGCGCCAACCTAAATAACACATTAAATCTTCTGATTTCCAACCCTAAGGTCTTTCTACCATAATTAATACAGGTATCTGAAGAGGTCTTTCAGAAGAAATCTTGGAATAAGTACTCTCTCTCATTTTCATTCTGAATACATTTGTTTGCTGCTATTATAAATTTTGATGCTCTGCAAAGATACTACTCCGTGTAATTGCCAACCCTCCACTCTACGGAGAACAAGGAAATTGAGGCCCACAGTGTCCATTGAGAAATCTACAGTCACCTAGCTTGAAGGTGGAACCAAAGCATCAGTTCTGGGCCATGCTGCCCTTCTTTTTTTTTTTTTGAGACGGAGTTTCGCTCTTGTTACCCAGGCTGGAGTGCAATGTCACCGCAACCTCCGCCTCCTGGGTTCAGGTGCCCTTTCTTTGCAGATGTTCTCAAGTTCTCTGTGGAAGTGGACACAGCATCACACGGTTCATCAAGACAGCTGGTGCTTCTGCTCAGGAAGCTCGAGGGGCAAGGAACAGCCTCTCCGCATGTTTTACCCCAATGCCAGCCTGCTGCCAATGCAACTTAATGGACTCTGCTTTTGGAGCCCAGCAGCCTTCCGTGGGCTATAATCTACCCATCATTAGCGAACAACCAAAAAGCTCCTCTAGAACACGCTTCGGACATCGAAACCTGTTTAACAGGAAGGGCCCAGTCGTACTGTGAGACTGCCCATATGCCTCTTGGGTCCCTTCTTACAACCTGCCCCTAACTACTGGAGCTGAGGGGAGTGAGGACACAGCCCGGCACCCCAGCCTTGCCTGGCCTCCCCACTTCTTCCCCACAGTGCAGTCCCAGCCAGCCTCTGTTCGGCCCCACCTAATTCCCCTACCACATGGGTCCAAAGCCCGGCTTGCTTGGCCTAAAGCCTAGCTTCCTAAGGGTCCTGGGTGACCCTGGCATGCCTGGGGGCCCTCAGAATGCAGTTTCCCTTTACCTCCACTGAGTCCACACACGATGTCTGCGAGGAACAGCGGCAGAGAGGGAGTGGGCTTTGGAGTCAGACAGGCCTGGGTTCGGATCTCAGCTCAGCCACTTCCTTGCTGTAGACTTATTCCCTCTTGTGGTGCTATTTTTAGTATTTCATCTTATTTGTCTTAGTCTGCCTTGGTTTCCTGGTCATCCTCCTAGGCTACCAGATTTCCAGGTGAGGCTCATCCCAATCTACTTGGCCAGAGTCTCAGTGCCTGCCTACCTATCCTCCAGTGCTCACCCTGGGGTGACTGGGACCTGTCTCCTGATCCTCGGCTATTTCCTGGGTCCACCTGGGTGTCAGCCTCTCATTTCCCAACTCCTGGGGTCCACCCCTTCAGAGTCCGGCCCATAGCCTGCCTCATCTCCCTGGCCCACAGCCTTATTCTCCTCCCCCAAGTCTCCTACTGAGAGCCCAGAAAGCATCACAGCTGAGCCCACCTGGAACATAACACTCCACTGCTGAGTAAGCTCCCCTTGCAGCTAAAATCGTTTTTTCGATAGTGAGGATTTCTTGCTAATGAACTGGCTAAATAATCTTCAGCTCACTTCTGAATGAATACAACTGGTTCTAGTCAAAGGCGCTTCGGATCACTGGGCCGAGCTTTTCTTCCTTCCCCACACCACAGTCCTACGTCCTTTGCATTCCTGCCATAATTTACACATTAAACTTTTCTTTTTTTTTTTTTTTTTGAGACAAAGTCTCTGTCGCCCAGGCTGGAGTGCAGTGGTGTGATCTCGGCTCACTGCAACCTCCACCTTCCAGGTTCAAGTGATAATTGTGCCTTCCGAGTAGCTGGGATTACAGGCACCTACCACCACACCCAGCTAATTTTTGTATTTTTAGTAGAGACGAGGGTTTCACCATGTTGACCAGGCTGGTCTCAAACTCCTGATCTCGTGATCCGCCCGCCATGGCCTCCCAGAGTGCTAGGATTACATGCCTGAGCCACTGCAACCGGCCTAAACCTTTTTTTATATAATGCAAAAATATCAGTGTCTTATTTTGCAGCACTCAAAGTGCCCTCCCTCCCAGTGCTCTTTGGCTAAACTAGCAGTATTGAGCAATTGCAGTATTGAGCAATTTGCAGTACTGATCAGTGCCAGGCACTGCACTAGGTACGTCAGTATGTATATATGAGATCTAATCCTACAAGATAGGTTATAGCATTTTCATTGACTTGTTTATTTGTTTTTTTTTATTGTTTTTTAGAGACAGGGTCTTGCTCTGTTGCCCAGGCTGGTCTCGAACTCCTGGGCTCAAGCAGTCCTCCTGCCTCAGCGTCCCAAAGTGCTGGGATTATGGGCATGAGCCACACTGTATCTGACCCAGAATTTTTATTTTTAGACTTTGTAACTGGAGGTTTTTTCCCATATTCCAAGACTCTACAAAAAAAGAAGCAGAGTTAACTATACTCACTGCTAAGTCCTTGAAGGCAGGGGCAATATTGCCTTCATCCCTCAATTTTCCTGCCCTCTCTGTCCCCAGCTAGCACAGGAAGAGCATTAATGGTGGGGGACTCAGCAAATGCTTATGGGAACCTGCCTCTGTCTCATTTGGTTCAATGCTGTCATGTTCTATCCAGGATCACAGGTGACATTCCTTCGAACACTAATCCTGAGTGATTCCAAGCACTCCCTGGACTCTGGTTAAAGTATGCCCCGAAAGCAAATAACTTCCCACTCTATCTCTGGAGCATACCTCTCTTGGGTCTCCCATGTCACCCACCCCCACCCAGTCACCAAATTGATATTTCTACATCTGAATACACCTTACAGTCCCTCAATCATCTCAGCATTTCTCACGTGAATTGCTGCAATAGCTTCCTAGGTGACCTGATAGACTGCAGTACAGGCTCTGTGCTGGGCACTGCTCATACATTATTTTCCATTCTAATAAGCAACCCTGTGAGATAGGCATTAAAGGGTGAGCCACATTAAACCGTCATTTTTATAAGTCAAACCCAGCTACACACACACACTACCCCACAACATACACATTTGCAAGTGATTCAACCTAATACCGCTATTATTACCCACCCACCCCCAAAACAGGCAAGGAAACTGAGATTTAAAGGGTAATTTATTTCCTCAAGGTCACACATTTTATACCCTGGGGAGCCAGGATCTGAACATGGGTGTGTGTTCAAATTTCCAAAGGCCACACTTTTTCCGCTAAATTATATCATCTTCAAGTCCATATATCACTTCCCAGAGGAATGCTCACAGCCCTAAGTATATTACTTAGAGTATTCATATATCTTAATACTTTCATCAGAGGCATTGGAACTAGAGCAACTCCATCTTGAATAGGATCTGGGTAAAATGAGGCTAAAACCTACTAGGCTGCATTCCTAGAAGGTGAAGTCATCTCACAGGATGAGATAGGAGGTCAACACAAGGACAGGTCAGAAAGACCTTGCTGATAAGACAGCTTGCAGTAAAGAAGCCAACTGAAACCAACCATGACCAAGATGGCGACAAGAATGACCTCTGGTCGGCCTCACTGCTACACTCCCACCAGCGCCATGACACTTCACAAATGTCATGGCAACATCAGGAAGTTACCCTATAGGGTCTAAAAAGGGGAGGCATGGCTAATCCACCCTTTGTTTATCATGTAATCAAGAAACAACCATAAAATGGGCAACCAGCAGCCATCAGGGCTGCTCTGTCTATGCAGTAGCCATTCTTTTATTTGTCTACTTTCGTAATAAACTTGCTTTCACTTTATTCTACGAACTTGCCCTGAATTCTTTCTTGCACAAGATCTAAGAACCCCCTCTTGGGGTCTGGATTGGGACCCCTTTCTGGTAATACTTTAAAATGTTATTAATAACACACAATTATAACAACTACCATTTATGGCACCTATGATATGCCTTACAATAGTTATTTCAGTTTATCTCCACAGCTAAGCTATGAGAAATCTACAATACTGGTTTTTTTTTCTTTTCTGGGTTTCATTTTGTTTTCTTCTTTGGTATGTTGTTTGTGTGCATGTGTGTGCAATACTTTTTGTTTTTTTTCTTGAGACAGAATCTTGCTCAAGCAATTCTCCTGCCTCAGCCTCCTGAGTAGCTGGGATGACAGACTACCACCATGCCTGGCCAATTTTTGTATTTTTAGTAGAGATGGGGTTTCCCCATGTTGGCCAGGCTGGTCTCGAACTCCTGACCTTAAGTGATCGGCCTAAGCCTCCCAAAGTACTGGGATTACAGGTGTGAGCCACTGCACCCAGCTGCAACACTGTTTTTAATAATGTTACAAATAAGGATTGAGATTGAGTGAAGCCAGGCGATCTGCCAGTCACACAGGAGGTGGTGAGCCAAAAGGCTGGGGGTGGGAATCATGAAGAGCAAGAGCCGGCGGGACACGGAAGCTGAGCCAACGTCAGGGGCCAAGCTCGCCAAGGTGGACACTAGCCCTAAGTCCCAGCAGCACAGCCTGTGCTTGGGTCAGGTTCACAAGTGGAGGGTGGGCAAAGACAGCAGTGCAGAGCTGGTGCTTCTGGGCAACAGTGCTGACCTCTAAAGAAAACTGGCTGGAAACCGACACACCAGGAGGATCATTTTAAACACACACCCAGCCACTCAGAGAGCCTGGTTGGGGCACTTGGCTGCCCCAACCCAGGAACCGGACGCTCAGCCTGATCATTTACACCACGAGAGTGAGAACAGGATCTCCTGCAAGCCTCTGGATTTCAACTGCTGGTTTAAATTTCAAGGAGAAGCATGAAAGTGTTGACATGTAAGGAATTACTTGTACATGCCTTTGATCACCCTGAAGGTCTGGGGTGTTCCAAATGAGCATGCTGGTTGGAAGCCAAGCTGAGCTCAATTTTTACAAAGGAACTCCTACTGTGCCACCTTAGGCCAGCTACAGAAGGCACGTTTCCTTAAATCAACACTGCCTGTTTCCCACCTTTCATTCAATGGCATCACGTGGCCACGGACAACAAGACCTTGGGCTAAGCCCCCTCACAGGAAATGTTAGCCTGGCACCCACTTCCTGACCTCTGGCCAGTTACTTCACTTGGGTGATCGGTCATTTGTAAGGAAACCTCCCTGCTTCCTTAATAAGTCAGAGAGGGGCACTGGAAGTCTCTTTGGGGAAACAGATGCCCCGAATGCCCTCCCAAATTTATTTTCCCTTTGGGGATATTTCACTAGTCGCTACCACCACCACAACAGGCTTAGGACAGGGAGGGAAGTGTTGATGCCCTTTAATGTTCTGGACAACACCTGGGCTCCGACTCTTTAGGTCCCTGTAGCCATGGACACAGCTTTTTTTTTTTTTTTTTTTGATGGAGTCTCGCTCTGTAGCCCAGGCTGGACTGCAGTGGTGCGATCTTGGCTCCTTGCAACCTCTACTTCCCAGGTCCCAGTTCAAGCAATTCTCCTGCCTCAGTCTCCTGAGTGCCGGGACTATGGGAATGTGCTACCATGCCCAACTAATTTTTGTATTTTTAGTAAGAGATGGGGTTTCACCAAGTTGGCCAGGCAGGTCTTGAACTCCTCACCTCGTGATCCCCCCACCTCAGCCTCCCAAAGTGCTGGGATTATAGGCGTGAGCCACTGCGCCCCGGTCTGACACAGCTTTTAAGACTTTATTAATGACTCAAGGAGAGTAGAAGGGAAATAAACAGAGAAGAGCACGCAACTTGATAATTGTGTTTACAAGATACTCTCGTCACAGCATGACAGCGCTCTTTAGTTTGCCCTTAGATGGCAGAGGCAATGTTTTCCCATCCCCTGGGAAAACATCCAGATTCCCTGCAGGCTCAGTTTTAAGAGATCCCCAGCCTGTCGAGCCTCCCGGCCAACTCACATTGCAAAGTCCACCCTGCTTAGAGAAACCTCACCTATGACTCACAAAGACAGAACAGCTATGTTACACTCTCGACAGGACAGCTGTTTCAGGATGTCAGGATAGAATACCATCAACTGAACAGCCACAGAAGAAATATGTTTAAAAAAGAGCAAGGTATGTGTTACTCAATAGCATCAATATCTTCATCTGTCAAATAGAGATTATCATAAAACCTCTCTGGTCCAGCATTTTCCAGACTTGCATGGTCAGGGAATGCTTTTAAAATTATAATGTACTTGGGGAATGCCAATAGGCACTCATACATATTCAGAATAATAATGTTGACTGATTATAATGTTAATATATAAGATATGGTGATAAGGTGATGTTAGTCAATGGTGACATTAGTCAAGATATAGTGTAACATTATAACATTTAATCTGTGAGATCATTTACTTTTTTGCCTTCAACTTTAATTGAAATACACATGGGTTCCTTGTTTGTGTTTTGCCTGTATAAAGTTTAAAGTATCTCATGGTTATCTAACCAAAGGGTGAAATTTAAGAGCAGCAGAGGTAAATCTGGCTGATTTTCCTATGATAAATCATTTTATCCTGAGCTTTAAGTCCTTTGTGGAAGATGCTCCAAACATATCAGACTGGGGGAAGGAAAGAGAAAGAAGCTAAGCATTGAGCATCGTGGTGCTGAACACTCTATAATTTTTTTTTTTTTTTTGAGACTGAGTTTCATGCTTGTTGCCAGGATGGAGTGCAATGGTGCGATCTCGGCTCACTGCAAGCTTCACCTCCTGGGTTCAAACAATTCTCCTGCCTCAGCCTCCCAGGTAGCTGGGACTACAGGCATGCACCACCACATCTAGCTATTTTTTTTTTTTTTTTTAGCAGAGATGGTGTTTCACCATGTTGGACAGACTGGTCTCAAACTCCTGCCCTCAGGTGATCCACCTGCCTTGGTCTCCCAATACAGCATTCTTATTAACACCCTCTCTTATTCATCTTTCCAATGCCCTCTGAGAAAGTCATTATTTGAGTTTGATAGACTGAAAGTGGTACTGTGAGGCCACACATGTCACCATGGATGGAATCAAATGCAGCCTGGCCAGCCCCAGGACCCAAGTCTTTCCGTGATACCACACTGTGAAGGCCATGGGGCAGCAAGCCTCAGTGCACCTGCTCACACTTGTGTAGTCTTTGTCTTACTGCTGTAATAAAAGCTCCATAAAGACAAGAACCACATTAGGCTGCTTTGTCACAATAATCTCAGTGACAGGTGCAATGGCAGAGACTGAAGAAAACCCAATTTTAGCATTTCTAAAGGGTTGTCATAGGGGCTATAGGGAACATGCATGTCCCATGGGATCAAGAGGGCCAAACTGCACCCAGAGAGAACAGAGAGGAGAACGAGACACAGGGAGAAAGGTGTCAACTCAGAATATTTTGAAAATGAGAACAGTCCCATTATGTGACAAAGTACCTTGAGAAATATTAAACTGCCCATTTCTGAAGATGATTAAGTATAGGCTGGAGCCTGACCATCTGTCTGGGTGTGGAAGGGATTCACCCAGCAGGGGAGTGGCCTGGATGGTCTCTCAAGTCCTTTCCAGTCCCCAAGACTAAGTTATTTGTTGGTACTGACTTCAACTCAAGGCCTAATTAATGTCTGACTTACTGTGTGACTCAGCCAAGTCTCTTTCCCTCTCTGGGTCTCAGTTTCCTTATCTGTACAATGGAGGCATCTGTACGTTCTGCTTAGGGCTTCCAAGATCCTACACACCCTCTGAAGAACAAGGGTTATGATAAGGTTGCCTGCAGGGTGGCATTGTGCTGTGTCACAAACCTTCCTGCTGATGCCCCCTCTGCACACAAGTCCCAGCTATCTTGGCAGTGAACTCAGGTCACTTCCCCAGCCAGGCAGGGATACAGATCAGGTCCATTCTGATTCAGAAAGTAAAGTGGGAATCAGGCAAACCCATAGTGTTAGACATAATTCTAGAATGTGTCAAAAATCAAATGCCCTCCAGCAATATAACAGTATTTTTTCAACAAAGATAGATGAAAATGCTTCTGATCCATAAGGATCCAACAACAGTACTCAGCGGGGCTGGTACTGCCACCCAGGGAGGGTTTTGGAAATTTCCAGGGGTGTTTTTCATTGTCACAGTGTATGGAAGGTATTACTGGGCAGAGGCCTGGAGTGCCAGCCAGCCAGCCATGAGCTGGGCAGTCCTGCCACACTTTAATAAGGGTGAAGAATCTATCTGTATATAACATGAAGACAGCCTAGCATCTAACTCCATGTTACATATAAAGTGTTTTTACAGGGTTCAAACTGTGCATCACAATGTTCCAAGAAAATAAAAATCATGTAAATAAGGGCCAAGTGTGGTGGCTCACACCTGTAATCCCAGCACTTTAGGAGGCCAAGGCAAGTGGATCACTTAAGGTCAAAAGTTCAAGACCAGCCTGGCCAACATGATGAAACCCCATCTCTAATAAAAATACAAAAATTAGCTGGGCATGGTGGTGGCTGCCTGTAATCGCAGCTACTTGGGAGGCTGAGGCAGGAGAATTGCTGGAACCCAGGAGGTGAAGGCTGCAGTGAGCTGCAATTGCATCATTGCACTCTCTAGCCTGGGTGACAGAGCGAGACTCCATCTCAAAAAAAAAAATCATGTAAATAGAGGGGAAATTATGCTTTGCTTTTTTTCTGGATGTTTTTTAGTCTATTTGATATTTCAGAAACATCACATCACTAATGATATTGTGGCTCTCAGTATTTGATTCATTCATACAACACCCAGTGATTATATAGGAAAACAGTTTAAAATGTTAAATAGAAGGAAGATTAAAGAGAGAGGCTATATTAACCAATCAAATATTGTCTTGCTTTTCTTATATCTAAACTTACTCATTATAGGTAGTGGTAGCATCTGACCACTTTGTTATGTCATAGGGTATAATAGTGCCAAAGTATTTGCTTATTGAATTATATATTATTTCATTACAAAGAACTTTTCTGGCCACGTGTGGTGGCTCACACCTCTAATCCCAGCTTGTTTAACTGAAAAAAAGGGGGCTGAAACAGGAGCCAGGTGATCTGGCTTGGCCAGTTCCACCCCCACAAAGACCAGCAATCTGAAACGCTCTGGACTGAGAGTTTCACAGCAAACACAGCCGGACCCGGGACAGTCAAGCTCTGTGGGGCAAAGGGCACCTGCCATTACCGAAGCAGTCCACCACTACCAAAGCAGTCTGCCATTACTGAGGCAGACCACCATTACCGAGGCAGTTCTAACTATACCTCTATAAACAAAACTGCAAGGAAGTTCACACAGCAGCTGGGCAGAGCTCACGGCAACTCAGCAATGCCTCTGCTGGCAGACTGTGACCAGGCTACCTCCTCACTGGGCAGGGCATCTCTGAAAAAAGGCAGCAGTATGTCAGGAACTTATAAATAAAGCCCCACCTTCCCAGGATAGAGCACCTGGGAAAAAAAGGTTGTTATGAGTTCCATTGCAGCAGACTTAAATGTACCTGCCCAGCAGCCCTGAATGGAACAATGGAGCTCATAGCTCAGCACTTGAGCTTCTATAAGGGACAGACTGTCTCCTGAAGCAGCTCCCCGACCCCCGTATATCCAAAGAGAGACTTCATAAAGGAGAGCTCAGGCTGATATCTGGGGGTTATCCTTCTGGGACAAAGATAGAAGAAACCCTTACTGTTCTGCAGCCACTGCAGGTGATCACCAGACAAGCAGGCTCTGGAGTGGGCCTCCAGCAGTCCTACAGCAGAGGGGCCTGACTGTTAGAAGGAAAACTAAAAAAACAGAAAGAAATAACTTCATCATAAACAAAAAGGACATCCACTCAGAGACCCATTTGAAAGTCACCAGCTACAAAGAACACAGGTGGATAAATCCACAAAGACAGGAAGAAACCAGTGCAAAAAGGATGAAAACAGCCAAAACCAGAATGCCTCTCCTCCTCCAAGGAATCACAACTCCTCACTAGCAAGGGAAAAAGGCTGGGTGGAGAATGAATCTGATGAATTGACAGAAACAGGCTTCAGAAGCTGGGTAATAACAAATTTCTCTGAGCTAAAAGAACATGTTCTACCCCAATGCAAAGAAACTAAGAACCTTGAAAAAAGGTTTGACAAAATGCTAACAAGAATAAACAGCTTAGAGAGGAATATAAATGAACTGATGGAGCTGAAAAACACAACACAATCATATACTTCACAGATCATATACAAGTTTCAGTAGCCGAATTGACCAAGCAGAAGAAAGTATATGAGAGACTGAAGAACAACTCAATGAAAGAAAATGAGAGGGCAAGATTAAAGAGAAAAGAGTAAAAAGAAATGAACAAGGCCTCCAAGAAATGTGGGATTATGTGAAAAGACCAAATATACATTTGATAGGTGTATCTGAATGTGATGGAGAGAATGAATCCAAGCTGGAAAACACTCTTCAGGATATTATCCAGGAGAACTTCCCCAACCTAGCAAGACAGGCCAATATTCAAGTCTAGGAAATACAGAGAACACCACAAAGATATTCCTCAAGAAGAGCAATCTCAAGGCACATAATCGTCAGATTCACCAGGGTTGAAATAAGAAAAAAATGCTAAGGGCAGCCAGAGAGAAAGGTTGGGTTACCCACAAAGGAAAGCCCATCAGACTCACAGTGGATCTCTCAGCAGAAACCTACAAGCCAGAAGAGTGGGGGCCAATGTTTAACATCATTAAAGAAAAGAACTTTCAACCTAGAATTTCATATCCAGCCAAACTAAGCTTCATAAGTGAAGGAGAAATAAAATCCTTTACAAACAAGCAATTGCTGAGAGATTTCATCACCACCAGGCCTGCCATACAAGAGGTCCTGAAAGAAGCACTAAACATAGAAAGGAACAACCAGTACCAGCCATTCCAAAACGTACCAAATGGTAAAGAGCAGCAACACAATGAAGAAACCACGTGAACTAATGGGCAAAGCAACTGGCTAGCATCAAAATGGCAGGATCAACTTCACATATAACATACAACTTACAAAGAACGTAAGGGACCTCTTCAAGGAAAACTACAAACCACTGCTCAATGAAATAAGAGAGGACACAAACAGATGGAGAAACATTCCATGTTCATGGTTAGGAAGAATCAATATCGTGAAAATGGCTATACCGCCCAAAGTAATTTATAGACTCAACGCTATCCCCATCAAGCTACCATTGACTTTCTTCACGGAACTGGAAAAAATCCACCATGAACTTCATATGAAACCAAAAGAGAGACCGCATAGCCAAGTCAATTCTAAGCAAAAAGAACACAGCAGGAGGCATCACACTACCGGACTTCAAACTATACTACAAGGCGACAGTAATCAAAACAGCATGGTACTGGTACCAAAACAGAGATATAGACCAATGGAACAGAACAGAGGCATCGGAGGCAACACAACATATCTACAACCATACAATCTTTGATAAACCTGACAAAAACAAGCAATGGGGAAAGGATTCTCTGTTTAATAAATGGTGTTGGGAAAACTGGCTAGCCATGTGCAGAAAGCAGAAACTGGACCCCTTCCTGACACCTTACACTAAGATTAACTCCAGATGGATTAAAGACTTAAACATAAGACCTGGCACCATAAAAACCCTAGAAGGAAATCTAGGCAAAACCATTCAGAACATAGGAGTAGGCAAGGACTTCATGACAAAACACCAAAAGCATTGGCAACAAAAGCCAAAATAAACAAATGGGACCTAATCAAACTCCACAGCTTCTGCACGTCAAAAGAAACAGTCACTAGAGTGAATCGGCAACCAACAGAATGGAAAAAAATTTTTTCAGTTTACCCATCTGACAAAGGGCTGATATCCAGAATTTACAAAGAACTCAAACAGATTTACAGGAAAAAAATGAACAAGCCCATTCAAAAATGGGCAAAGGATATGAACAGACACTTTACAAAAGAAGACATACACGAGGCCAACAAACATATGAAAAAATGCTCATCATCACTGGTCATTAGAGAGATGCAAATCAAAACCACACTGAGATACCATCTCACGCCAGTGAGAATGGCAATCATTAAAAAATCTGGAGACCACAGATGCTAGAGAGGATGTGGAGAAATAGGAACACTTTTACACTGTTGGTGGGAGTGTAAATTAGTTCAACCATTGTGGAAGACAGTGTGGCAATTCCTCAAGGCCTTAGAAATAGAAATTCCATTTGACCCAGCAATCCCATTACTGGGTATATATCCAAAGGACTATAAATCGTTCTACTATAAGGACACATGCACACAAATGTTCATTGCAGCACTGTTTACAATAGCAAAGACCTGGAACCAACCCAAATGCCCATCGATGATAGACCGGACTGGGAAAATGTGGCACATATACACCATGGAATACTATGCAGCAATCAAAAACGATGAGTTTGTGTCCTTTGTAAGGACATGGATGAAACTGAGAACGTCATTCTCAGCAAACTGACACAAGAACAGAAAATGAAATACCACATATTCTCACTCATAGGCGGGTGAGGAAAAATGAGAACACATGGACACAGGGAAGGGAGTACAACACATCAGAGTCTATTGGGGGGAATGGGGAGGGACAGTGGGGGGGCAGAGCTGGGGAGGGATAGCCTGGGGAGAAATGCCAAATGTGGGTGAGGGGAAGGAAGGCAGCAAAACACACTGCCATGTGTGTACCTATGCAACTATTTTGCACGTTCTGCACATGTACCCCAAAACCTAAAATGCAATAAAAAAAGAAAATAAATAAATAAATAAATAAATTCACATATAACAATATTAACCTTAAATGTAAATGGGCTAAATGCCCCAATGAAAAGATACAGACTGGCAAATTGGATAAAAAGTCAAAAACCCATCGGTGCACTGAATCCAGGAAACCCATCTCACATGCAAGGATATACACAGGCCAGGATGGAGGAAGATTTACCAAGAAAATGGAGAGCAAAAAAAAGCAGGAGTTGCAATCCTAGTCTCTGATAAAATAGACTTTAAACCAACAAAGATCAAAAGAGACAAAGCAGAGCATTACATAATGGTAAAAGGATCAGTGCATCAAGAAGAACTAACGATCCTAAATACATATGCACCCAATACAGGAGCACCCAGATATATAAAGCAAGTTCTTAACAACCTACAAAGAAACTTAGACTCCCACACAATAATAGTGGGAGACTTTAACACTCCACTGTCAATATTAGACAGATCAACGAGACAGAAAATTAACAAGGATATCTAGGACTTGAACTCAGATCTGGACCAAGCAAACCTAATAGACATTTACATAACTCTCCACCCCAAAACTACAGAATATACATTCTTCTCAGCACCACATCATAACTACTTGAAAATTGACCACATAATTGGAAGTAAAGCATTCTTCAGCAAATGCAAAAGAATGGAAATCATAACAAACAGTCTCTCAGACCACAGTGCAATCAAATTAGAACTCAGGATTAAGAAACTAACTCAGAACCGCGCACAACTTCATGGAAACTGAACAACTGGCTCTTCAATGTTGACTGGATAAACAATGAAATGAAGGCAGAAGTAAAGATGTTCTTTGAAACCAATGAGAACGAAGATACAACATTACCAGAATCTCTTGGACACATTTAAAGCAGTGTCTAGAGGAAAATTTATAGCAATAATTGCCCACATGAGAAGGAGAGATCTAAAATCGACACCCTACCATCAAAATGGAAAGAGCTAGAGGAGCAAGATCAAAAAAACTCAAAAGCTATCAGAAGACAAGGAATAACTAAGATCAGAGCAGAACTGAAGGAGACAGAGACACAAAAAACCCTTCAAAAAATCAATAAATCCAGGAGCTGGTTTTTTGAAAAGATCAGCAAAATAGACTGATCACTAGCCAGATTAATAAAAAAGAAGAGAGAGAAGAATCAAATAGATGCAATAAAAAACAATAAAAGGGAAATCACCACAGATTCTACAGAAATACAAACCACCATCAGAGAATATTACAAACAACTCTATGCACATAAACTAGTAAACCTGGAAGAAATGGATACATTCCTAGACACTTGCACCCTCCCAAGCCTAAACCAGGAAGAAGTCAAAACCCTGAATAGACCAATAACAAGGGCAGAAGTTGAGGCAGCAATTACTAGCCTACCAACCAAAAAAAGCCCCAGGTCCAGATGGGTTCACAGCTGAATTCTACCAGACATACAAAGAGGAGCTGGTACCACTCCTTCTGAAACAATTCCAAACAATCCAAAAAGAGGGAATCCTTCCCAAATCATTTTATGAGACCAACATCATCCTGATACCAAAACCCGGCAGAGTCACAACAAGAAAAGAAAACTTCAGGCCGATATCCACGACAAACATAGATGCAAAAATCTTTAATAAAATACTGGCAAACAGAATGCAACAGCAAATCAAAAAGCTTATCCATCACCATCAAGTAGGCTTCATCCCAGGGATGCAAGGCTGGTTCAACATACGCAAGTCTATAAACATAATTCACCAAATAAACAGAACCAAAGGCAAAAACCACATGATTATTTCAATAGATACAGAGAAGGCCTTCAACAAAATTCAACAGCCCTTTATGCTAAAAACTCTCAATAAACTAGGTATCAACAGAACATATATCAAAATAATAAAAGCTATTTACGACAAACCCACAGCCAATATCATACTGAACAGGCAAAAATTGGAAGCATGCCCTTTGAAATCAGGCACTAGACAAGGATGCCCTCTGTCACCACTCCTATTCAATATAGTATTGGAAGTTCTAGCCAGGGCAATCAGGCAAGAGAAAGAACTAAAGGATATTCAATTAGGAAAGGAGGAAGTCAAATTGTCACTACTTGCAGATGACATGATTGTATATCTGGAAGACCCCATCATCTCAGCCCAAAATCTCCTTAAACTGATAAGCAACTTCAGCAAAATCAATGGGCAAATATCACAAGCATTCCTATACACCAATAACAGACTTAAAGAGAGCCAAATCAAGAATGAACTGCCATTCACAATTGCTACAAAGAGAGTAAAATATCTAGGAATACAACTAACAAAGGATGTAAAGGACCTCTTCAAGGAGAACTATAAACCACTGCTCAAAGAAATAAGAGAGGACACAAACAGATGGAAAAACATTCCATGCTCATGATTAGGAAGAATCAGTATTATGAAAATGGCCATACTGCCCAAAGTAATTTATAGATTCAATGCTATCCCCATCAAGCTACCTATGACCCTCTTCATAGAACTGGAAACAACCACCTTAAACTTCACATGGAACCAAAAGAGAGCTCACATAGCCAAGTCAGTTCTAAGCAAAAAGAACAAAACTGGAGGCATCACACTACCTGACTTCAAACTATGCTATAAGGCTACAGTAATCCAAATAGCATGATACCAGTACCAAAACAGAGATACAGACCAATGGAATAGAACAGAGGCCTCAGAGGCAACGCCACACATCTACAACCATCTGATCTTTGACAAACCTGACAAAAAAAAGCAATGGGGAAAGGATTCCCTGTTTAATAAATGGTGTTGGGAAAACTGGCTAGCCATGTGCAGAAAGCAGAAACTGGACCCCTTCCTGACACCTTACACTAAAATTAACTCCAGATGGATTAAAGATTTAAACATAAGACCTAACACCATAAAAAACCTAGAAGAAAACCTAGGCAGAACCATTCAAGACATAGGCATAGGCAAGGACTTCATGACTAAAACACCAAAAGCATTGGCAACAAAAACCAAAATAGACAAATGGGATCTAACTAAACTCCAGAGCTTCTGTACAGCAGAAGAAACAATCATTAGAATGAACCAGTAACCAACAGAATGGGAAAAAAATTTTTGCAATCTACCCATCTGACAAAGGACTTATATCCAAAAATCTATAAAGTACTAAAACAGATTTACAAGAAAAAAAACAAACAGACCCATTCAAAAGTGGGCAAAGGATATGAACAGACACTTTTCAAAAGAAGACATATATGAGGCCAACAAACATAGGAAAAAATGCTCATCGCTGGTCACTAGAGAAATGCAAATCAAACTACATTGAGATACCAACTCATGTCAGTTTAAACAGCAATCATTAAAAAATCTGGAGACAACAGATGCTAGAGAGGATGTGGAGAAATAGGAACATTTTTACACTGTTGGTGGGAGTGTAAATTAGTTCAACCATTGTGGAAGACAGTGTGGTGATTCCTCAAGGACCTAGACATAAAAATTCCATTTGACCCAGCAATCCCATTACTGGGTATATATCCAAAGGATTATAAATTGTTCTATTATAAAGACATAAGCACACATATGTTCATAGCAGCACTGTTTACAATAGCAAAGACCTGGAACCAACCCAAATGCCCATCAATGATAGACTGGACAGGGAAAATGTGGCACATATACACCATGGAATACTATGCAGCCATAAAAAACAATGAGTTCGTGTCCTTTGTAGGGTCATGGATGAACCTGGAAACCATCATTCTCAGCAAACTGACACAAGAACAGAAAGCCAAACACCGCATGTTCTCACTCATAGGCGGGTGTAGAACAATGAGAACACATGAACACAGGGAGGGGAACGTCACACACTGAGGTCTGTTGGAGGGAACTAGGGGAGGGACAGTGGGGGGTATAGAGTTTGGGAGGGAGAACATAGGGAGAAATGCCAGATATAGGTGATGGGGATAGAGGCAGCAAACCACATTCTCGTGTATGTACCTATGCAAGAATCCTGCATGTTCGTCTCATGTACCCCAGAACCTAAAGTGCAATAAAATATATATTTAAAAAAAGGAAAAATGCTCAGAACTACTAATCATCAGAGAATTGCAAATTAATAACCCGATGAGCTATCACTTCACATCTGTTAGAACAACTATTAAAAAAACACATCAGCTATTATCAAAAAGACACCATGTTGGAGATGATGTGGAGGAAAGGGAACCTTTGCACACTGTTGGTGGGAACATAAATTAGTAAAGCCATTATGGAAAACAAAAAAATTAAAAATAGAACTACCCGGTATGATTCAGAAATCCTACTGGGTTTTTATCCAAAGGAAATGTAACCAGTATGTTGAAGAGAGATCCGTGCTCCCATGCTTACTGCAGCATGATTCACGATAGCCACCTGTGTCCATCACAGATGAATGAATAAAGAAACTGTGACATATATACACAATGGAATACAGTTCAGCCTTAAGAGAGAAGGAAATCCTGTCATTTGCAACAACATGGATGAACCTGAAGAACACTAAGTGA